CCACAACCCCCTCAGCATTTGTTATTGGTTGATTTCTTGGTGATAGCCACTTTTTCCAGGGTGAGATGGAATCTCAGTGTTGTTATAATTTGCAACTCTCGAATGACAAATGATGTTGAATATATTTTCATATATTTATTTGCCATTTGTATTTCTTCAAGTGAGAAGTGTGTATTTATTTCAGATGCCCATTTTTGGATTGAACCTTTAAATTTGGGAGGTCTGAGTTTTTTGAGTTCTTTATATATTCTCGATGGTAATCCTTTGTCTGAGGAATAGCTGGAAAACATTTTTTCCCCACATTGTGGGTTGTCTCTTCATTGTGTTGGTGGTTTCTTTTGCTATGCAAAAGCTTTTTAATGAGACCCCAGTTGTTGATTCCTTGTGATAGTTCCGGTGCGATGGGATTTTTATTCATAAAGTCTTTCCCCACACTAATGTCTTTAAGAATTCTACCTGTTCTATCTTCTAGCAGATTTAATGTTTCTGTTTTAATATTTAGATCTTTGATCCCTTTTGAATTTAAATTTAGTGCACTGTGAAAGATATGGGTCCAATTTTAATCTTCAGCATATGCAGAGCCAGTTTTTCCAGCACCATTTATTAAAGAGGCTATCTTTCTTCCAGTGAATGTGTCTGGCTCCTATTTAATCATAAGGAAAACTTCCTCTCACTTATCAGGAGAAATAAACCAGTGAGACAGCATATAGGAACCAACCTCAGTTAATGATGGCTAGTTCTTCTGATCTGTCTTCAGCTTCTAAAGAGAAAAGTCTTCATTTCATCAGGCCCACCTGAGGTGAGAGTTGGGGATACAAATGGATTTTCTGAGTCTTGGTCCTCATGGAGAATTTAGTGGCTTTATGTGTTTTCATATTGTAAGATGTGCCCAGTGGTGTGTGATAACTTAAGCAATATTTTTCTTTCTTAGAAGTTCATAAAATAACAGAGTATCTTACTGAGGTAGAAGATTAGGGTGGGGCAAATGAGCTGAGCAAGTGGGTATGACCTGTCAATCACAGAGACACAAGACACATGTTCAGAACACAGTTTCCAAGTCATGCACCAATCAGAAAGTGCTGTCTTCACTTCTGGTGTGAAATCAAGCAGATTTTTGATAGGATGGCCTAGATCTGTTGTCACAGAATGAGAACTACAAAAGACTCCCACTATTAATCATATGGCCCTTGTGAGGGTCTCTCAGTGGTTCTTTCTCATTCTGCACAGTGTTTTCCTCTTTCTACCTTTAATAAATGTAAAACCTCACTGTCTTTTTCCATGTCTTGTCCAATTCTTTAATTATTACACCCAAAACTTGGAAAGGACACCTGTACAACAGAATGATATCTTAGATTTGATGAAATATGGTATATTAAATTAAATATTTATTGAATCCCATTACGAGTAAAGCTCTAGATTAGATGGCAGACAGAAGAACAGATGATGAAATGGAGTCCCCATGCCTCCATGTGGACTGTATGAAATCAGAGGATAAAAAAGCAAGCACATGCTTACTCAGGGCTAAATATTTCATGAGGGGATCTAATGCCAGTTATGATGGCTGGAATACATGTGGCTATTCACTAGGTGAAGGGGTGTGTGTGTGTGTGTGTGAGAGAGAGAGAGATATAAAATGAGGAAGTGATGAGAGATGGGGCTGGAAAGGTAGTGGGGAGATCAGGCTGTTAATTTAAATGCTAGCCTAAGGAATTTTTAAAAATTTCCTTTATGTCAGTGGTTTTCAAACATTTCATGATCCTTTCATAATCTTATATTTTATTGAGGACTCCAAAAAGCCTTTGTTATTTGAATCATAATGCCGGGAAACAAAAAAATAGTATGTCATTAAAAATAAAAACAATAAACTCAATACATGTTATTAATAATATGCTTTTCATGAAAAATAACCATAATTTCCTGATAAAAATGTGTGGAATTCCAGGTGTGGTGGTACACACCTATAATCTCAGCTACTTGGGAGGCTGAGGCAGAAGGATCTGAAGTTTAAAGGCAGACTAGATAACTTAGACAGATGCTGTTTAAAAAAGTACATGGAGTAGCGGTCCTGGGGCAGCATTTGCTTAGCATGTTTGAGGCCCTAAGTTCAATTCCAAGTACTAAAAAAAATTGGCACTTTTTAATATTTTTATAGATTTCTTTAATGTGTGGCTTATGAAAGGACAGCTGGTTCACCAGGACAACACTCAGGGAAGAACACAGGAAGCCCTGTCCAAAGCAGAGGTATCTGGGAGCAGAGAACTGAATGGATTCACATGTTAAGAGTTAGCAGGAACTGACAGGGAAATGTGGCCAGGATGGGGCAGAAAGCAAGTTAAGCATGACTTGAGGTATCCAGGTTGGGAAATCCAAATGCAAATGAGACCAGAGTGCATATAAGGTATATAAGGCATAAGATGATTTCTGGTGTTAGATGGACAAAGAGGAAAGAAATGAACCAAAATAAGAAATGATCTGAAGTCCAGACCCATAACTCAGGGAGACCCAGACAAATGGACAGGCCTTGGAAGACTGCCTATTTAAAATGCTGTAGATGTGGCTATTTAAAATGATTTAAAAAATAGTGTTTGTGTTAAAAAGGTAAAATTCATCTCTTGAACAATGCAAATATCCCTGAGAGTTAAGCAGGGAGGAGCTCCTTAACTCTTCCTCATCAATGAACACACCCTGGTATTAATTAGTTCAGTCAAACTGCCTTCCATCTTCATGTAACATAAGGGAACTGCAGATCATGGACTACAGTAGGACAACTGGTCTGGGAAGGTACCATGGTGAGGTCCTCGGGTCTACTAAGGAATAGGGTAAGCATGGAGTAAAAACAGAGAAGATCCTGGACTGCCTCCAGGATTTTATTATAGTGATAAAAAGCTCACTAATATATTGTTGTGGGACCTTCCACCTAGCCTTGTAGTGGCAAGCTGCCATGTAAGAAGTATGGCTGCTTAGAGGTCAGCACGCTGCATGGAAGCTTAAGTTTGCTATGAGACAGCCTTGGGAAGAGAAGTGTGGGACCAGCCCCAGCTGCTCCAGCCCCCAGTCGCTGGAGTCATTCCAGCCCAGGTCCCAGTTACTGTGCAGCAGAAGCAGGGGTGTGTGCCAAGCCCTGCCGAAGCTGCAGATTCATGAGCATAATAAAGGGTTGTTATTGCTTAAGCCACGCAGTTTTAGAGCAGTTTGTCACATAACAATGAATAACCAGAATAGTCAGGCTTTTTTTTTCTACATTAAAAACTGGTTTGTTGAATTACTTATAATGGCATATTAAATTTCTGTTGATTCTTTAGTTTTCAAGCCTGTTTTAGACATGACAAAAACACTGTATTGTGGAAAACGTTCATATAACATAACTTAATAAATGGCTATCAATGAAATACTTACTACATTGTGTATGCATACCAATAAGGGTGATTTAGTGAGGGTTGCTACCTATCTCTTAACCAGCAAAGAAATACCTTCTCTGAGCTATGTGTTATCTCCCAGCAAGCTTTCAAAAGAATGAGGAATTGAAACATAGTTGGTATCTATAGCTGTTTCTAGCTCTTCTGATGTTTGAAATTCCTTCAATTTTTATAGTTGTTCAGTTTAGAGAAGAGACCTTGCCATAAGATAAAACTTGTCTCTGAACTATATAGTAACTCCCCCAATGCCTTTCAAATAGTGTACAACCTTAAAACATTATAACAACTTTGGGGTACCCAATCTACATAGATGAACTCAACAAACATTGTGCTACCTCCCAAATCTATGCTGTTTTATCATTTCTTGTTTCTCTAACTACAAAGCCTGCCTCCCCTCCTATGTATGTGTGTGAAATCCTATTTATCCTTCAAATGTGGCCTCTCCCATCAAGGCAGAGTTAGTCACTCCTTGATGACATTGCTTCTTCAATCTGTAAAGCTTTTTCACTAACAAATAAGCTCATCATAAGAAAGGCCACAAACCCACAGTCCTATTGAGCACATGAAAAAAGAGCTTAAGAAGGTCTCCACAACTCTTGGCGACTTTCCACTAGGCTGAAATAGCCTGACTTGATCTGTGTTTCAGGGATTAGAATTTAGCAGAAGAAATGAGTCAGTTAAAACACTCAGTCAGAATGCTGTCTGTAGATAAAGTGCTTTGCACCAGGGGTACAACAATACAACCGGAATTACTACACAGAAAGGGCTCACTGAATGGTCATTTGCATATGAAACTCTTTGCATTTTATCTTCTCTGTATAAGTTAACAAGGCACTGTTCACTCAGAAAGATAGCTTTAGGTAGGCAAACACAATAAACTTCAAGTTTCCAAATCCATAGCTTTGGTTTGACCTGGAGTAGACAATTCCTGTTGTTGCAAGTGGGTCAACAGGAACATCAAACCCACAAATCAGTATTGCCTTTTACATTTGTTCAGTGACAATTCCAATCCCGGAGGCTGTATAGACAATAAATGGCCCCTGGTGTTTTGTGGACAATCTCCTGTCATGATGTTAGCAGCACGCAGAAAGTCATAAACTCTTGTTATTTTACCACAAAACCAAGAAATCACATTTTAACCACTCATTATTTGAGAATTAAACATAGCTGTGTATAACATTTCAAGCCACAGGTAGTATAGTCCCTCAATGACAACAGGTTTTATGTGACAAAATGCAATGTACGGTTTCTTCTCTATGAGTAACTATAGAAGTTCATCCTGGAAGACCCTGTCTGTATTCTAGTACAAAACCAAGGGCAAGACCATTTTTAGAGGCATTTTCAAATTAACTATGCTCAACACATCATGTTAGAATTATTATAATGGAGTCTATATTACAACTGATGCCCAACACATTAGAATGACTTAATGCTTGGTACTTTATCCAAACAAAGCAAAGAGAAAATTTACTGTTCTTTTTTACTGACCCAACCCTGGTCTTCTTCCAGAAAGTCTATGTTTCTGGCACTTTTCAAGCTGTAACACTGGTATAGTCTAGGAAAGAAGATGCGTTATGAACTTACTTAACAGTTGGCAATAGAGGGCCTGTAAACTTCTCTTCATGGTATCATCTGGTCTTGCTTATCCTCCAGTTTATTCATGATTCTGTCTAAGAAAACAGGAGAAGAAAATTGTTACATCCAGGGAACAGAACTTATAATCAGAAAGATCTCCACTCAACATGAGCCGGGTTGTAAAGTCTAAAATACTTTCATCTGGGGCAGGAAAGTCTTGAGATAGATACACCACAAACAGTTTAATTTATAATGGTCTACATTATAAAATTATCACTGATCAGTTGGTTCCACTACCCTGAAGGAAACTGATATGCACTGCTACAGAGTGAGACTCTGGCTCTGGAACTGTTGAGGACTTTCCTCATATCTCTTCAGACTCTCTAGGCCTACCAGGAAAAATGATAAATTTCTTTTCTAATCTCATTCCTATGAAAAATAAAAATTAAAAAAGAACCAGAAAGCTACATCATACTTGAAGTTGTATTATTTAAAATAATTTTTTATTATAAAATATATACCTGGCATGGACTATTTAGAAAATACTGATTAACAGACAATATATATACATATAAGAATAAACAAAAAAGTACAAATTACCTATTATCCTGCCAATAGGAGGCAGTCAGTGATTGCTCAGATTTCAGGGTATACCTCTCTAGTCCTGGGAATGATTGGTCTGTGTCATTTTGTGTATTGTACATTTTAGCTTTTCCCTCTAGTAGCAGAAACATTTTTCTGTGTTGTTACTGTAGTTTTACCAACCCAATTTAAATGTAAAACTATTTAAGTTCCTAGAAATGGAAACACAGGGATACAATTAAATTTTTTGAAATAAATATATTGCCAATTTCCCCTATCAATAGCCGTTAGAATGAATATTTAGACTATATTCTACCGAATGATGGAAAACTATAATTTCTCTTCATCTCTGCCAAACAGGTAGTTATTCTATCTCATTGTTTTAATTTGTACTTTATACATTTATCAGTTAGTTATGTTTAAAAATATTAATATTCTTTGATCATTCTTTACTGACATGGTAGGTTTTCTTATGACAAAAGTAGAACTGATTTATCTTTAAAATTTTTTGAGATAAAATTCACATATCACACAATTTAACCTTCTAAGTACACAACTCACTGGTAGGTAGCACATGCAAATTGTTCAACCACATCACTACTTAATACCAGAACATTTTCATTACTCTTTAAAGAAACTCCCATACTAATTAGTAGTCATTCTCTTTCCCTGGCAGTCATTAATCTAATGCCTATCTCTATGAATTTGCTTATTCTGGCTAGTTAACATAGATAGAATTATTCTTGTGTCTAGTACTTTTTTTTTAACTTAGCATAATGTTTTCAAGGTTCATCTATGTTGTATAACATGCTGGGTTTAATTTATTTTTTTTTAAGTAAGGATGCTTCATACCCCTCTCCCCTCCTCTTAGCTCTTTATCTCTTTCATGGCTAGAAATGTCTTTCTTAAAAATATTTGCTGTATTTTCTTCTGATATTTTTACTTTCATTTATTATATTCTAAATGCTTTTATATTCTTAGATCTGTTTCTGGACTTTGTGTTATGCTTTATTTCTGTTTGCTCATTCCTCCATTAGAACAGTAAATGTTTATATTAAACCCTTTGTAGAGTTAATTTTCCATTATTATTTTTCTCTTCAGAATTGTTTTGTTTCAGTTTGTATTTTACAGCAAATTAACTTTTAAGATCATTTTATTACCTCACCAAAAAAAAATCATTGTGATTGTAGTTGGAATTATCTTCTATTTTCTTGGGAGAGACTTGATCTCTTCAAAATCCAAATAGGGTTAAAGAGATAAATATTTTAAAATGAGTTGCTCAGGAGAGCAGGAGAATTTCAGGAGGTGAGAACTACTCCTTTTTGGGGAGGGAGTAAGGTCACAATAGCTCCGACTTTTTTTTAGTTAGGCAAATTAAAGCCCCCTCCCATCAGTAAGGTGAGAAAGACAGCTAAATTGCTTAGTTATAAAACAATAGGAGGTTTGACTTCCCAAAGACTGCACCTTAAGAAAGTGAGTGTGTTAGTCACTTTTCTGTGGGTGGGACAAAATACCCAACTCTCACAACTTAAAAGAGGGGCTTATTTTGGCTCAGTTTTTAAATGGTTCAGTCCATGGCTGGTTGGCTTCAAAGCAGGAAGGGCATGTCAGAAGAGCGGGATGGAGGAAAGCTGCTTACCCACAGCACCCAGGAAGCAGAGAGTGGAGGAGCTGGGGAGGGAGATACACCCTTCTAGGGCACATCCCCTGTGACACACCTCTTCCAACCAGTGCCACCTCCCAAGAGCACAGTTAGCGCTGAACTTACTAACACATAACCCACTGATGAGGTGCAGGGCCCTCATGTTGCAACCACACGCCAAAAGCCCCATCTCTAATTACATGAGACTTGTGGGGGACATTTTAGATCTAAGCCATAACAGAGGGATTAAGAAGTCTCAACATTGGAGACACTGACATGATAAGCAGGAGACGATAAGAGACAGAAACGGTGATTCAGAAAGGTGGTAGCAGGTGAGTTCTAAGAATAAAGGACAAAGTAAGGCATTCCCCAAAAGGGATGCCTAGGAACTTTAATTCTTTCCTGCTTCTTATGTTATGTGTACTTACATACTGCTTCTGTATTCATTCTTCACTGCAATAACCACTCACTACTGATATCCTCAAAATCTCAGTGACCATCTTACACAAAACAGGGGTAATGAAAAAAAAGATATATATCTAAAACCAAGGGAGGCACCAGGGATATAGCTCAGTGGCACAGCATCTGCTTGGCAAGTGCAAGGTCCTGAGTTTGATTTCTGGTGCCAAAAAATAAATAAATAAAACCAAGGGAGAACTTTAGAAGCAGTGGCCCAAGCAGTCATAAGCAATGACTACAGCACATCTACAGAGTGCTTGGGATAAGGTAAGCATTCAGTAAACATGTAGTAAGTAAATAGTGAATAAATTAATAAGTGAATGATCGAGTAATGACATAGTCATGGCATACTTGGGAACCACATAATGGTGGGGGAAAAGAATCTTGGGCCTTTACCTGCTAGTCATTAAAAGCATGATTTGTGTTTTCTCCTGGGATAGTCAGTACCTTAAAAACCATTTAAACCATTTTTGCTATGAACCATGACCATTCCCTTGAGCTTACATAAGCCCAATAGGTAACCAAAAGCAGAACAAAATTTGATTTTTTTATATCCTTTGTTACTGTAAATCGTGGGTCAAATTTCTTCTCAGCTTTCAATAGGGCTGTGTTGTTCATTTAGAGAGTGTTTTTCTAGGACCTGGCAAGATAGGGTTGATTAGACCTGTATTTGTAGGATCTCATTCCCTTTTAAGACTGAGGACACGAAGATAAGAGGTTTACAGGGACATTCAGCCATACCCAGAAGCCTCCAGCCATTGTCCTAAACTTGTGATGGATCACCTGGATTTCAGGAAAGAAGGACCCTCACAGGATGGACACCACCACAGAGAGACACTACTTTCCTGGGAATGAAACCAGCCCTCAGCTATCAAGATTCCAGAACTATGACACCAGCACTGAGACAGTGATCAACTGGACCCCAGCCTACGAGCCAGTCCTTAAATGCTGGCCTCTTGCCTTTGTGGGTGGGTCATTCTGAACCCCGTATGCCCCCACCAGCTCCCTAAGCCCAAGTCCTTTCCTATTATCCCTCTAACTTCCCAATTAAAGCTTTACCCCCTGTAAAATTGTACTTTCTTTGCAATTTCCATGTTTATTAAAGCAAGGACTCAAAGATAACCAGATACAGTAAAAAAAGCACACAAAAAAATTGTAGCTTTTTTTGTTGAAAGGGAACATGAGCCCCTCAATTGCCTATGGAAATGCTTAGAAGTTTTTGAAAAAGTGGTAGATTTCCCACAATACATGGAAATATAACCATTTTACTGAGCTATCACAGAAACATTTGAGCCTGTAAATCTGGAGAACTTCCGGATTATTTTGATTCCTCAGGGCTATCCCAACTAGAAGCATGATATGATCTATTACTTATTCAAAACTCATCTTTTCTTAGATCCTTCTCTGGATTTTTGTAGTACTTTTCTTTCACTTAAACTCTACAGTTTAATCAAGTTAATTCCTAGGCATTTTGTATTTATTTTTGCCACTGTGATGGAACTTCTGCTTCTGTTATATTTTCTAATTTCCTCCATATGAAAATGACTGAGCTTTGTATATTCATTTTGTTGACTAAACATTGTTCTTACAAGGCTTTCCTAGCTGAGTCTCTTGGGTTATATATCACATTATAGGAGTTTAAGGAAAAAAGACAAAAAGGATTAGAACACTTATGACTTAAAGAAAGAAAGAATAGAAACATTTCCTAATCTGCATAAAGGTAGAAATGAAAATGAAAGATAAAGAGAGGGTCCTGGAAATATCAAGAAACAAATGACATATAAAGGTGTTCTAATAAGGCTAACAGCAAAGTTTTCCGCAGAAACACAGGTAAGATGAGAATGGCATGATATATCCAAAGTGCTAAAGGGAAAACATATGCCAGCCAAAAATATTATACTAGACAAAGATATCCTTCAGAAATGAAGGTGAGATACTTTCCCAGACAAAAACTAAGGGAGTTCATTGTTATCAAACTTGTCTTAGGAATGCTAAAAATAATTCTCAAATTGAAAGAAAATAATGCTAATTAGTAGCATGGAAACATATGAAAGCTTATGTAAATAAGCACACAAATTCAGAATGCTCTAATACTGTAATGGTAATGTGAAAACCACTTATATCTCTAGCATGAAGATTAAAAGAGAAACATTTAAGAATAATAGCTACAATAATTTGTTAAGGGATATAAAATATAAAAATATATAAATTGTGATATTAAAAAGTAAAATGTAGACGTAGATTAAAAGTATAGATTTTTTTACAGATCAAAGTTAAATTGTTATTAGTTTAAAATAACCTGGTATAAGATGTTTTATGTAAGCTTCACAGTAACTAAAAAGCAAAAACCTATAGCAGATACACAAAAGATAAAAAGTAACCCTCTCCCATAATCCCCCTTGCTTTGAACTT